TTATTTTAAGCACCTGCACACGGGGCACCAAACGGCACCACTCTGCTTAGTGCTAAAATACAACGAAGCCGTGCTGCTTAAACAATCTTTAGGCTTCTTCAAACTAGGAGAGGGTGTTGCAATAACCAGAAGAAGTGAAGGGGGATGGCTAGTTTTACTGGCGGTTCGAAAAGGATAAGCATGCTATTATATCCATAATACGAATATTAATTAATATTAACATATCATTAATATATTATTACGTGTTTTAGAGAAATTAATCCTCTCATGGAGCAAAATCTTCAGTGGGTTTACTCCGCATATAAATTGTATTTGACAAAGCCCTGAAATTTTTGATCAAGCTAGATCCATTTTCAGGAAAACTGTAGAAGAATAAAATCATTTTGTTATGGTATAATGTCCCGTTACAAACTCCGTGAATAGAATTTGGATGTGAAGTAAGCCTTTCGAAAACTTTAGCATACAACTGCCCATAGCATTATAATCAAAAATTAACAATCGTTGCCTAATGAAATAAGGTTAATTAGCAAAATACTTCAAACATCACATTCGTCATTCAAAATGTTTCAGGACAGCTTCTGCTACACATTTGATTTACTGTTTCACTGCTACATTTTGATAGATCCCGTTGTTTTATGAAGTTCTGCGAATTTACCTTTATCATATCTTCAAGGCTATTTCTTTTATCACTTTCCTGATTGTACAAGACGATGCAACCCTTTTCAGAAAATTAAATTAATTAATCTTTTGTCCTGATCATCGTACAGTAGTGTATGACAAACGATAAACATGGTCTGCAATAATGAATTTTCTGTTAATTTCATCGCATAAGCCATATGCATTTCATCCACAACTTTTCAAAATTTGTGCATAAAGTATCTGAATTGCTAGTTCCAGTTATGATAAGCCGCAGAGCAACTATCTCCCTAGATTTCTTGTCATTATTTGCTGTCACATTAAGTACTGCATAGTCTCATCATATGGTAACAAGTCAATCACTGTACAACGACCTATTTACAAACTCTGTTGTCAAGAAGTAGTACTGAATTCCATTGCTGTCTGATACTTAACAATTAACTTCATTAACGGCTCCTTTCTCCATTTATGATCTAACAATATCTGCATATAAATTTGGGTCATAACTTCCCAAAATTGTGAATCAAAAATTTGTAAGATTTATCAGATCTCGTACAGCGACAGGATTTCCGGCTTTCTTGCCACTACTTTTATCCTGCGTAGTGTTTCATGCATCACGTCGTATGATCATGTACTAATGCCTGTGTCAGGCTTATTTTAACATTTGTCAATAGGTACTACCGAGTACCTCGCTGTCGATTCGTCCTTGGTGCTTTGCAGTCATGGACTTTTGGCCTGCTTTTCTGCCTTCTCGTGCATGGGTTCGACATAGTACGAATCTTGGATATTGGCCGCTTATCTTTTGTCGTAGTACGTCACCGCAGTAAAAGCTTAGGCATACGTTTAAAAACTAATCGGGTACATCTTCAGCATCAGCTTGGTCTGGTATTGGAAGCAGAAAGTAGCAGCCTGTATTAACGCGTACTACAGTTTCACTGGTGACTGCTTTTATAGCCTGTTTATCTTGAGCAACAATAGCAACAGCATACAGTTTCAGCTCTAAAATTAATCCAGTCAAATTAGCATAATTATTATTCTGCCGAAGCTGTGCGGACTTTTATGAAAAATTTAGGGAAATGAGCGGAAAGCAGATCTGCCGGTGTTGCTGCACTCCGTTCGAACCAGACCCGAAGGACTGGAAATGCAAGCACCGCGACGAGAACGGGGTACTGAAGTCGATTTACAGCGCATAGTCAAATTAGAAGCAAAGTGCGAAAATGGCCACGAATCTGCGTCACGTTTTATTTTTTATTTTTACAGAACTTTTCTTCGAATTCTTCGGCAGATATTTTTTTCTTCTTCAGTTTTTTCAATAAACCGTAATCTTCGTTAATCAAATCAGCGTCGTTTCGCTTTCGAACTTTTGGTTCGGCCTTAGCGTTGGCTCTCAACGACCTGAAGTACTTCTCATTCGCTATGCGCCTTTTCTTTAGCATCTTTTGTCGCTGAGCCTCCCTGTCTTTGTCCAGGTACGGTATATCAGCAGTGTTGACAGGACATCGGAGGAAAGTGCGAAAATCTCGTCCATCAAGTTCGGCCATTCGGGGCAACCGGAGAACACCGAAGCAGTGGGCCACTTTAACGATATCGAGGTCTGAAAACATTATTAAAATGGCATTATTAACATCAATACACAATTAACGCGTGGTACAAATATAAGCAATGAAAGAAGTACAATCGCCAACGGCAGCTTCTTAATCTCTGATCTACAGAACAAATACGTTGAAAAAATAGGATTTACTAGTAGTGATGCATCTCTTGAAGGCAAAATTGATAACCTGATCAAAAAACAAATTGAAAGTTACTTTAGCCTTTTGCATAATCCCACATCGATGCTTGCACACTGCGTTACTACAACAAAAAACAATTCGTCGTTACGACTGTGACAAGCGATCGTGTTTCCATTGTTCTTACGGTAAATCACAAAATGGAGCATTTTAGCTTGAAAGGACGGAAAGGAAAGTCTGGACCAGTTAGAATGTTGGCCGCCCTTACACTTTCAAGCTGGGACAATTTTTGGAGCCCTTCTTTCGATGAAGTTAATGGTGGGGCGCCGCTCTCCATTTTCATGCCATCAGCTTTATTTTAAGGGCATAGGCAACACCAGCTATGTGACAAACATGATGTATAGTCTCCTATTTTCTTCCCACAGATTAGTGCTCATTTATCAGCCTCGGAAGGAAAAAAGGCAAATGATCTGACCGTGGTCAACCTCGGGACATTTTTTGACTGAATTTAACACTTTACCGACTGAGCAACCCCGATATTGTCTTGAGGAAATATTTTTTCATGGTCAGTCGATAGCAACATAAACGGAAGGAATTTTGTGATCGATATTAACCTTGCCGCGAAAATCAGCGGGTCAGAACAAAAAACGACATTACATACGACGGCTTCCGGTCGCTGTTCTGCTAAATGAAAAACTAACCAGACAGGCGGCAATTTCCAGGCCGCCAAAATTACTAAAAATTTCCAGATATAAAATTTATACATCACCCAAACCGTGACAAAGATTTGACATAAAATGTGAAAGTGATCCAAACTGTAGCGATTCATAAGTGGGGCGTTTTGAATGAACGTTTAGAAAAGATCTGCTTATCGGCTTAAAGTACAAATCATTTCTTAAACCGCAAACCAAGATCCTTAGACTATTATAAATCTTTTAACTATGAAAAAGGTGAGTAACTCTGGGCATATTACAACAGATGGTGAATGTAGTGATTAGATTTTTAGGTCTGGTATATTTCTAATTCAAAGAAGGTCGGCTTTCATGGGAAACAGAGAAACAATTACAAACTAATAGCCATGTAATTACTGTAATTGATCCATGCGGATCAGAACATATGCAGTACAAACATGAAGCTAGCGCGAACAGCTTTACCTTTGAGGTTGCAAAGAATTTGACAGTCACGCTTTAGGTATGATTCAATATAGCTCACAAACGCCCTGCTTCCTTTCTCAAGGAAATCCCTTAAAAAATCACAGCATAAACGCGGTCCATTACTGAAGTATGAGTACCTGTCACCAACCGCCTTAAAACGCAGCTTGTCCATCATTTTCATACATGCGTCCTCACTGCAGCGTATCTTCATTTCTTTGAATTCTACGCTCTGGTTGCGCCTTAAATAAGTGACATATCCGAGCTCGCTTGGTGCCAAGAAGATGACCGCATTGCCCGTATGCTTGTAGCGTGCCGTTCGACCACATCGGTGGATAAACCAACTGAAAGCAACAGCGTACATTTCCGATAAAGCAGTACTAATCAAGCAGCCACAATAACAGATTAGCAAAGACACTTATGAAAACAGTATATAATTTCCTACATTTTCCTGTCTGTCAGCAAGAACAAAAGTGAAAGGACACCCCAACGTCTCATAACAAATGAACACGAGCGAGAGATACTGATAGAAACGCTGGAATCCAGTTAATACGGCAGTTGAAGCAGTTCGTCTCTCAAAAATATCTTTACTATACTGCGACCACGTGAAAAACGATGGACGAACCTGAAGGCCAAGTGCAACATGTACAGCTGATATAATTAGCTAAGTAGAGAAGACATGTCTTCCACCGGGAATATGCTGAAAAGTGTGACAATGAACAGCTAAGGATGATATCAATATGTCGAGAATATGACCATGTTCCCCGCTGAGTTAGCAACAAGGCATCACCTGATACCATTCATTGTTAACAAGCATTGGGGGTGCAGCGTGCTAGCATGTTAAGAATATGTCTTTTAGAACTTTGGCTTTCATTTTATTTTACTATCATTTTGTCATCATTTTACATTTTATTTGCTCACGGTCATAAATTTTTTACTCATTCGTTTGCAACATGTGCTTCATCTTTCACGTCATGGAGGACGCTGCTTCAGGGATAATTTTCAATAGTCCTCGTTCTCCGCCAATCAGGTAAGCTCCATAAAATGCAGTCCAATTAGCGACTTAATATTATGCATATATATGTTATTTTTATTACGTATTAAAAAACATAGTTACAAAAAAATATATTCTTAGCCACAGGAACTGTACGACAAGAATCTTATTGCTACCTCGCGATTCTCGGCAGGTCCATCTGCACCACCCAGTCAATGTTAGGCACGTCT